ATGTATGATACGAGTTACTATAAGTTAGTGTAAATAATTGATTAATTTATACTTTGTGACAATATAACACTTCAAAACTTGCTGATAAAGATGATGTATTGTAATTGTATTCCGAGGAGCATTAAACCTTTTGTTTGTGACCCATAATCCCAGGGCTGGAGAAGGAATAAATTTGATTGGCTGACAATATTATTAATCAGAATGAAAGTTATATAGAGAATTTGTTAGACTCTAACTAGAGTGGTTGAGTTAAAAATAAAGGCTAATAAAGATATGGAATGGAAGTTAGGTTTTATTTTATTTTTTATTTAGTTCTGTGAGCGTCTGGTTTTTTTCATCACTGTGACTATTTGGTAAAAGTTTAGTCAATTAATAATTGCCAACTTGCTAAATTTTAAAATTTATCAATTTCCCATTGACAGGAAGAATTCCTGCAATTCCCCTAAACTAAGTGTTTGATGATGTCACTAAACACGAAATATGCTTTATCACATAAGGTCCTTTGCAATTAGTGACGTTATCAAACACTTAGTTTTAGTGAAAAAGGATGACATCTGAAGAGTCTTCGAGTTTATTTTTAAGATGTCCCTGAAATAGATTGAAGAATATACAGTAGACAGAATAATTATATACCATTAATAATATTAACATGTCAATACTGAGATACACTTGACATTTTACAAATCTATTATATCACAATCATTTCTAAAGAATAAAAGAGAATATTTATTAATGTCTGGCCAAGTTGTTTATCTTCCTTATTTTAGATTGATGATAGATAGCTTTATTTCCAATATTTGGCTACATAAATAGAATAGTTGAAAGGACATATTTATTTTTTGGGGGGAATTTTTTTTATCATATTCAAAGGATAATATATGTTTAGACATTTTTTAATGTTTATAAGGTCTCCTATTATAATATTGGATTTTGGAGCCAATTGTAAGGTTTTTGTTATGTCTATTGTAAAAGAATATGCTAGGTTTTTATACGCCCACATCTCACTATATGGACGTATATTGTTGGCACCCCTGTCTGTCCGTCAACATTTGCTTGTAAATGCTCTAAAAGCTAGATTTTTTGATGGAATCAAATGAAATTCGGTATGTGTATACATATTCATAAAATGAAGATCAAGTTCGAATTTTAGCTATTTTTGACCGTCAGAAGCAGAGTTATTGCCATTGCCCCAAAATCTTGAATATGCTATTACTCTCTTAGTTTTCAACCGATTTTGATGAAACTTAAAATGGATGTTTCGTTTTTACCATCCGCATGCCGTGGCTGTGATCCACTATCTTTACTTATCCCTTAAGCCTGTTCAAGAATTAATGCTTTTGGATGTTGAATTTTTTTTTAAAGTTTTGATTTATGTCTCTGAGAAAGGAAATCATAACAATAACTTTTCATTTAAAAATGATTTGTGTTCCGAGTCTTTTGTGCTAGAACAATTTTTACCTTAATATTTATTCAGGACTGAATGATAAATGTAAAATATGAAAAAGTTTTAGATTTTGTTCTAAAATTGGTGTTTTAAAGAACAGTGTAACAGAAGGGATAAAATTTTACAGTGGATTTGCAGCCATACAATGCTAGTAGATATTTACATGAAGAATTTTTAAGTGCCTTGTTGTCTTTTGCTTGTCGCCTTAAATTAGCTGGCAAAAACAAACAAATCAACAGCACTTGATGCAAATCTATCTTAGACCATTCATGTTTGAATCTTGATTCAGGATTACTATCAGGAATTGTAGTGCCAAGGTTTTCAGCATATTCAAATTCTAAATACAGATAATCAATAGTTGTATTGACAAGAGAAAGGTGACATAACAATCCTGTATAGTACTTTATCTTCAATACCTCATAAATATACCGTCTGCTATTAGCCTTAAAGGCATTCAATTCTTGTATAATTAACTTGAATAATTGATGATATTAATGTAACAGTGTATCAAAAGGAAAACCTATATCGGGTTCAAGTATGATTGAATGAAAATGAATTTTTGCAACACTTGAGAGGCATCTAGGGGCTAGGTAAAAAGCTGCTAAGCTTATATGGTTTTAATTAGGCTAATCAGATATTCATTGACTAATAGTGACTCTTAAAGATGATTTATTTGCATTGAATCTTAAAGCTTATTTGTTATTAGTTTAGTGACTCTAAAGCTTACTTATTATTAGTTTAGTGACTCTTAAAGCTTATTTAATATTAGTTTAGTGACTCTTAAAGCTTATTTGTTATTAGTTTAGTGACTCTAAAAGCTTATTTATTATTAGTTTAGTGACTCTAAAGCTTACTTATTATTAGTTTAGTGACTCTTAAAGCTTATTTATTATTAGTTTAGTGACTCTTAAAGCTTATTTATGATTAGTTTAGTGACTCTTAAAACTTATTTATGATTAGTTTAGTGACTCTTAAAGCTTATTTAATATTAGTTTAGTGACTCTTAAAGCTTATTTGTTATTAGTTTAGTGACTCTAAAAGCTTATTTATTATTAGTTTAGTGACTCTAAAGCTTACTTATTATTAGTTTAGTGACTCTTAAAGCTTATTTATGATTAGTTTAGTGACTCTTAAAACTTATTTATGATTAGTTTAGTGACTCTTAAAGCTTATTTATTATTAGTTTAGTGACTCTTAAAGCTTATTTATTATTAGTTTAGTGACTCTAAAAGCTTAGTTATTATTAGTTTAGTGACTCTTAAAGCTTACTTATTATTAGTTAAGTGACTCTGAAATCTGATTTATGATTAGTTTAGTGACTCTGAAATCTTATTTATTATTAGTTTAGTGACTCTTTAAGCTTATTTATTATTAGTTATTTAGAAATTGATGATTGATTTTAGATATTTTATGTTAAATAAATCAATAGTCTGTATTCGTACTTAAAACAATAACCTGATGGAATAGAGATTAATATATTTAATAAAAGGATGAAAAGTTTTATGTCAGGTTGGCTTCACCTGAAGGTTTAGTGCAAACAACATCAATTTATAAGGATACTACTTCTTAGAACATTGACATGATATTTAATATTTCAAACATTTTCAAACTTGTTCAACAAGTGTATATATTCATCAGTTGGACTTACCAGGTGTCATGACTAAAGAATAGAATCTCTATATAATTAAACTTAAAAATTATTGAAACACTCTTCTAAGCATGTTTTAAAATTTCTGAGTAAAAAGAATTATTACTTAGTTGTATGGATTTATTGAATTATAGAGGTATTCAATTGTATAGTTATGACACCAGGAAAGTCCACTGATAAACAAAGACTCATTTTAGTAATTTATTTTTTTTGGTCATCCTAAGAGGTAGTATACCTTAAAGAAAAAGCGTGTAGTTGTTTGGATGTTACAATCCCATATGCTACAGGCTATGTATGTGAAAGGTTCTTCCAACAGTTAGAAATTGAAATAGAGTAGGCTTATGCTGTTGTCCTGGCATAATTTCCCTCTTTGCACACTGCATGGCATTGCCCAACTTCATCAGCCCAAATAGGTGCAGAAAAGTAGGACGTAAAACTCCATTCATTTTGTTTCATTTTTAAAGTTCATGCTAATGACAAAATGTTGTCTTATCCAATATTAATGAAAGGTTTGTCTCTTCTTTTACCAATCAATAACAACCCATCGACTTTCTTTCATCATTATCAAAAAAAAAAAGAGAAACAAACTGATTTGATTTCAAACCACTTTGAATACAGCTAGTTTTGCCTCTGATGTGAAATTGTTGTCGTTTATTACAGACTTAGTGTGTAAATTATCTGTTCTTTCCTTGTGAAAATAACACCTTGATGTTGCACCTCGTGGGAAACGATTATTTGAATGTGTTGATTATGTACGAGAGGTATCTGAATGTGTAAGGAAATTCTGGATATGAGTGTTGAAGATGCACCAATACAATTTGTGACTGCAATTTATAATAAAGATTGTGTTATACATCTATTGTTAATAAAAGGGGCTAATTTCATCTACAGTTTGATCATAATTGATTTAAAAGTTTGAACATAACTGTGATCTTTTTTGATCATGCATGTAATTTGAATGAATTGGATTCGTTTCAAGTTATATAGTAAGATCAAACATAATGTTGAACATAATAGTTGAACATATTTTGATCATGATTTGAACATAATTTGAGGTTGATTGAACATTTGAATGATTGACCATTTCGGCATATTGTTAGACTGGTTCAAACATATTGTTAGACTGGTTCAAACATAAATGGTATTAATCATTAATATTTGAACACAGTTCATGTTTTACATGAGGATCTTAAGGGGAGATGTTGGATGAGTTTCAAGTTACATAGTTGTTCAAACATAATTATGAAAATAAAACCATTTATATAGGTTTATGGCATAGATGATAATTCTTTTAAATTTCACATTATAGCGAAACGAAATACACTACAAAAACAATGAACATTAAAGTCCATTGAACAGTTTTGTTACTAAAATATACTTGAAATGCACAGAAAGTGAAAATTGTTGAAAGTAAAAATAGAATATTGATAATGAGAGGATAATTAACAGATGATGAAATAATGTGAATAACAAACTTGAGTTGAGTCTTTTAACACTACCAACATCAGTTGAAAATACCACATATCTTCAACATATCTTTAACATATTTCACAATTGATAAGGAAAGTAGGCGATTAAGTGTGATACTTTGGTCCTGATAGAGTTAAGAGATCTCAACACCAACCTTGGTACTTGTTCAGTTTATCAACTCCAGGATACGTGGACACTCACCAAGATATGACATATGGTATTTTATGAACTTTTAAATGTCAATCTGTGGTGATAATGGGCAATCGAAGAATTATCATTTTAACGATAAGAGAATTTTGCTGGAATATTATAATTTATAGGATTCCTGGAAGTACAAGACAATGTTAGGCGCTTCTTTGCGATGATGATTTCGTTGGATTAAACAAACAGTAGTGCTGTGTTCATCAAATAACTTTTGACTCTGATATTTAATTCGAGATGATGCGATTTTTTCAGGTGGGTTAAAAAGTAACACCAAACTGTGAACTTTATCAACTCCGTGTTAAAGATGGATTCAATTATGATTTATGAAAATGCTAATACTTATATGAGCACAAAGAAGAGGTGTTCTAATGACTTGGAAAAATACCAGTTTGTCTGACATGTCCATGATTAATTCATAATTAGCTAAATTAGAAGAGAATTACCTACAGAATTCCAATGAGTGACTGATCAAGAAAGGTCAAAAAGTCTGTTTTTGTTTATCCAGACTGTACATACATGGACATTTATGATTGGTTAAAACTCTTAATTACATGCAATAAGGACATAATCATCTGATTTAGAATACATGATTATTCATTAGAAACACCAATTAGTCAAAAAGATTGCTTCATTTGACACTAAAAAATAAGGAAACCCATCTTTAAGTGGATACTCAACAGGATATGACATCTGACATTTTATGAAAATTAAAATGTCAATCTGTAACAATAAACGGTGGTCAAAGAAGTATCTGTGTTTATCAAATAACTTTTAAGTCCAATATTTAATTGAGATGATGTGATTATTTCAGGTGGGTCAAAAAGTTGATAGTGAGAAAGCCAAACAGATTGAAGAATTAGAGGTTGCTAATAAAGAACTTCAACATGAAATAGAAGAACTTGATAAAGCATTACAAAAGGCAGAAGGGCTTGTAAGTATATTTTTTGTTATTGTCAATTTTTTTTCCCCATCTTGATATGCCTGTCACTTGTTGTTCTGAATCTTGTCTTATTGTTCACTCTCCGTCTTCATTAACCCACGTGGTGCACAAAAAACATATAACTCTATTCATTTCATTTCATTTATTCTTCACTTTGATAAGAATGATATCTGAAAGCCAATCTTGACGAGGCTATCATGTGTGCCGCAACATCTATTTTTTTGTTGCTTGATAGCATCTGCAAGTTGCTGGTGTTAATGTGATATGAGAAAAGAATTAAAAAAAAAAAAAAGTACAGGCCTAGGTCATGTCATATATTTCGGTGTACTGTTAAATCTGGTAATATATAAACAAAAAGAATTTAATAATCTGGCGATACCAACTTATCACCATCATCTTTCCGATTGTATGTGGTTGATAATTGGTTTATCACGATGCCACTCTGCCAATGGGTTATCACAATCTGATGAAAATACAAATCTAGATGTTATACTGTTTTTCACTGCAGACTACTACACTCCCCATCTATGATCTGACAGGGTGCTTCTTTAGAAACAGACGTCGTAAGTCATGGCAAGTTACAACCCAGACTTTATCATTTCTGACAATAAGAGACAATAAAACTGTTTTCACTGAAGAAGAACTGCAATTTAAGGGCACTTAACTCTCAGACAATTGACATAAAATCTTTCTTCCATTGATTTGAGATAGAAAACTGTCAAGAAATCTAATTTTATTTTTTCTTCTTTATTGAATTGGATTTCATGTGTTTTTGAATCAATTTGTCACTGTTTGGTTTCATTCGTTATTTTAATCTATTTTCTGTAAGGATTCTGATGCAGATCACAAAGATTGACTACTGGTAATCTGATTTCAGTTGATGATGCAGAATTTCAATTGTTTTCCATTAAGTATAGCATTAACATGGGGGTAATATTGTTATTGTCACATGCTTCACCAGTCTGTCATTGTATCTTGTTTTAAGACCAAATTTTTATTTTTTTTTGGCAATTTAGATGATAAGTTTATGAAATAGATAACAAAAGTTATTGGACCATATTCCACAATGTCAATGAGCTGGCAATATCGGAGTTGGATTATAGGAGCAGAACACCAGAACAATTTTTGAGAGCACATTTTTTTTGATAAAAATTTCGTACTGGTGCATGTCTAAATTGGTAGTAAAATCAGTGCCAACCTCTTTAGTTTAGGAAGTATTACAGGTTCAAAAAACTAATACCCTTAGTGAATAATTCAGGATTGATACTTTATGTTGTGATTTAACTCTGTAGCATTGTGTTTTATCTAAACAGCTGCCTGTTGACTTTAGTATTCTAAAGAGTTAAAGGCAAGAAAAAGTATTTCTAATGCCTTCGTCAAATAGTATCTTATTTAGTCTTAATTTATAAAAAGTTGAGGGAGGACAGTTAAATGTCATTCTTATACAGACATCAAAGTGTAAAGGTTAAGTCAGTTAGTGTAGGAAGTTAATTACTGAGATTCTGATTATGATGGAGATATGGTAAGATCAGATATTAGTCTATAGGGTATTCCTGAACAATATATTTCAATTTCAAAGATCAACGATTTGTAAAGAATGTTTTAAAATGTGATTTGACAGATGATCAACTCAGTGAAGGTGACAATACAACTTCTAATTTATTTGGTCATTCAGAATTTTGGAAATTGAAAATTTGCTCAAATGTGCTCTTAGTACATTTAACATATTTAAAACCTGGCTGAATATGACAAAGTTTTAGCGGTATCATAGTTTTCTTTCTGGATTATCTAGGACATTATTATTTAAGGAATTTATTTATTGGGTCATAATAATATCAAAGAGTTTTCGGCATTTATTTGGTCATAATGATATCAAGATAGAGTTTTCAGCGTTTATTGGGTCATAACGATATAAAGATATGCATGAATTTGCATCAAGGCAGTTGCAACACAATGTTATAATAATTGATGACTTTAAAGGAAATATAAAGATGAAATTGCTTGATTGAATATTTGAAAATGACAAAATGGTAAGGAAGTACAGTATACAATGTTATGAATTATATTATTAAGGATTCTCAGTTATCATGTGAAGTTGATGGATGTATGCAGGTGCGAAATTATTTTCAGAACCAGTAGCCATAGAATCCGACATGCCTAGGACATGTGCCAAACCAAACTATTAACCATGTACTAAGGATTTTGTTTGCAGTGTGAATATGATGTGTAATGAGAGCTAATTGCTAGAGTATCTAGAAGACACCAGTTTAAAATCATTTTCCTTTTGCAGTCAAGGAGCTCATTTTAACTTGAATTCCAAAGTTCATATGTCATTTAGACTTGAATGACGAAGGTCATGTGTCATTCAAATTTGAATTCAGGTCATGTGTCATTTAAAATTGAATTGCAAAAGTCATGTGTCATTTAGACTTATATTGATAAGGTCAGACATGTGTCATTTAGACTTGATTCTAAAGGTCATGTGTCATTTAGACTTGAATTCCAATGATGTGTCTTTTAGACTTGAATTCCAAAGATTATGTGTCCTTTATACCTGAATTCTATGTTTATCAATATTTATTATCATTGATAATACTCATTCCATAAGAGTGTTAATATTATTTCTTGATGAGTTAATATATTTTAATACTACTGATTGGTATTATACCTTATTATTATCAGTTGATATGTTTAACTCAGTATAAATTGTTTATGGACCAATCATTGATTTTCAATTCAATCTGATGTTTATCTAGCTACTTCAAAAAGCTATCGATTTCTAGTTCCTGCCATAATTGACGTTTTCACCCGTTTGTTTGAGTAATTAGTTTGTTTTATATTGCCAATACAAAATGGCGACCCCTTTGTCTTGTTTTTTTTTTTAATTGAAATATCTGATACTTGTTAGTGGTTATTCTCTTTGTATTTAAAACTGGCATGATACTACAAAAAGGTAAATTCCGAAAAAGGTTTCAACAGTCAATAAAAGTATTCTTTGATATTTAAGAAAGAGAATTATGATTGATTTTTGCAATTGCTTTTTTTGTTAATTACCTTAAATTTTCTTTTACTTTCCCTCAAAGATTTGTTTCAGTTTTTTGTCATTGTATTGTGTATTTGAAGTTTAACAAAAGCCACAGCTCATTCTTCTTCTTAGACAAGGATGTTGTTGGTAAAGTTATGACAAATACGCGAGATATACTATTGCTTTAAGGTCTACTCTTTTGGCCATTTATATGTTACTTTCGTGGACTATATTGAATAAATAAAAATCTGGTCCTGTATTCTCGAAACGATCTTAGGGCTAGGATATCCTAGGGTCTTAATATCTAACACTGTTTTTAGGATATCCTAGCGTAAAGATCGTTTCGAGAATACCAGGCCAGACAAAGAAAAGACATGACATCCTTAATTCCTTTCTAAAAGGGTTGACTGGTAAAAAAGATCATTTTTTTGGGTTATTTCTCTTTTGGCTGAACCTGGAGAGTAAGCTAGACCCTATTGCCATACAAGAGTATTTTTTTCATTTGTCAATGCCAATGTTTTTTTCTATGTTCAGGATGATCAGTTAAAAGACAAGGAAATAGAATGTGAAAGTTTGAAATGTAATCTTGAAGTAGAAAAAAGCAAAAATGAAGAATTGGTAAGTCAACTTCAACCTTGTCTTTTTCTAATGGAAGTCATTTCCATTCTGCTTACTTCTACAGGAAAAGAGAAGTAAGGAAAGGGAAGTAACTCTTCTTGTCAATCACAAGTTCTTTTCATGGGATATAATTAAGTATTTCTTTTAAGTAATTTATTGATGATATGGTTGTCTAATTTGACATCAAAAATGAAAATTTATGGGACAAAATGATTTTAAAAGCAGGTTTTTAAAATATGTTATAGAAATTGTTGTTTTAAAAGACCTTGAAAGTCCCAATTTTTATAAGGGATTTTTGCTGATCAATAACTTTCTTTTTGTAGGAATTAGATTTAAAAGAATTAGCAGCCCAGAATTCTCAGTTGACTCTTGATATTACCCACTTTGAAAAGAGATTAGTTGAGTTAGAAGGGGTAAGTACAATATTAGTTTGACATTGGTACTTTAACCTTATACATTACTCACTTACTACAAACACAACAACCACAACTAAACACAATTTATATATAAAATTACATACATATAGTCAAGGGGTCTTATTCTCCAAAACTTAACCTAAAAACAAACCCCAGATTTCAGAAATACAAACTGAATTTAAAATTAATTTTAGTGATTATCAAATCAGATGACTCGAACACTAAAATTGTCTTCAATTAGGTTTTGCAAGATACGACCCCAGCAAAGATATTTGTGTACGTCCATGACTGACTCAGAACGTTAAAACTATGCATGTTAGTTTTAAGTATAATAAATATTAATTGAAGCCAAGTTTACTCCCGCAAGGAAATGCACATCCTGGTATAATAATAAAAAATAAACATGAGCATTTAATTCATGAATAGAATATATATATTTATTTTCATGGTCTTTGCATACTTCACCTAAAAATAAAATAGACCTAACTTGTTTATGTTATGTCTTTGCTCAATTATAAATATACATTCAAAGATCAAGTTAAAAAATTGAGAAACTCTTTGTAACTTACATCTAGCCACAATTAATATACCTTTTGTAAAAGGACTGTAACTAGGGTCTTTTTTCTACGAGACGAAAATCATGTTGTCTTTGAAGTTGTTAGGTCTTTCATCGCAAGGCTTTCAATATATAGACTTCAAACAGTAACTACAGTAAACATCAAATAAACATTATATTTAGCAGATATTATATTTATATTTCAGATTTTTAAACTAAATATAGTGACAGCTCTGCTGGTTCCTTGCAATTTTACATTAAAATTTAAATCATTGCATGTTTCTATGTTAATTTTGGAATAAGATAATTCTATGTATAAAGATACATTAAGGTATCCTGGGGAACTGATACTTTAATGAATTCAATAGAAATATCTAAAAAATTTTAAGAATCGTGACACGATTCTGATAATTTAAGTTCCTTATTTAGCTTACAACAGTACATAATATATATATGATAAAATTTATAGTTATAAGATATATAGGCTAATGGTCAGATTATTCTATTATGAAACTATTGTTAGATATAAATGGAGATTTCATTAAGATAGAATTACAGTCTATTTCCTATATCTAATCTAGTCTTATATTGGGCTAATATCATTTGTTTATTGTGTGTGGGAACTTTTCTTTAACAATGTCCTGATTGCCATTATCATAGGGATATGTGGATGGGATGGCATGTTCATAATCTGTTCAGTGGTTTTTAAATTATTTTTTTTGCAATTAAATTTTGATGTTGGTTCAAGGCCACACAAAAGGTCGTGTGTTGAGCATCAACACTCATCAGAGAAGTTGCACAGATTTGCATCAGTCTGATTTTTCGCATCAAATCAAATTTTAGCCATAAATAATTTGCTATTGTCAGTAGCAAACAAGTTGGTATTGTGTGCCTTTCACTTCCATAAACTTAGCTGTATGCTTTTTAAAATGATGGTGTTTGCTGTTTGCTTTAGGGATTCAAACAGGATGGCAGGAAGACTAGATGTTTAGTTTCAGTTCTCCATAAAAATACTAAGGACAGCTCAGTAATGCTTTAAATTGAGCTTCTTGTCTAATATGTTATCTATGCTACATGTAGGTGAAAACTTATTATAATGTTGAGGACTTGGTACGAAACACTAGAGTATAGTCTCCCAACAAATCTCACTTATCCTGTGTTATCACCACTAAATTATCACAAGAAACAGTGTGATGCTAGTACTAATTAAGAAGCAATTTGAAAGCTTAATTGCATTAAACTCTGAATAACCCAATGTTATTCTGTGGAGTTTTGACATTTCCTAATAAGGAGTTGTCAAATTTCTAGAGATGAGTTCAACTGTCAAAGTTAACACAAGTTGGTCACAAGTAGTTGTCTGCTATGCAATCAAAGTTTGAATATTTCTAATGTGACACCAACTGCTTTAGAGAACTATCTCTGTGCTAGTCTGCAACCCCTTCCACAATTAAGTAGTTATCTTAGTTTCGAACTCATTGACTTCTATTTTATGAAAACACTTCATTTTGAATAAAACAATACAGTGAGTGAAACCTCAGAGATGTATTTTCAAATCAATGTGAAACCATAGCCTTCTGAATTGCTGATTTTATTTTTGTTTTGATTCATTATTTTTAATTGCCTCCAATCTAGTTTCATATGAAAAAAAATTACCTTTAGGAAATAAGGTTCGGCTCTCAATCAATCAAAATAATTTCCAATTAACTCAATAATTAGAACAAAGCTTTTGAATCCATATCTTATTTTAGATCATCCTAAAAAATGTCATGTCATCAAAACGTCATTCACATTTTTAAAAATATTTTCGTTATTTTGAAGTAAATCTATCATTTCATGAAAAAATATGATTGACTGCATTGAAATATTCACTTGAGCTGCTAATGATTCAATGATGACAACTTTATATACTTCTAAACCCATTTACGATATATCTGTTTTAAAATAGACTTTAAACTGTTTGTAATTACATTTGTAGGGAAAATATAGACAGAAAGTAAAGCATGTTTCACACACTGTCATCAAGAGAGCAAAAACCATTTCTGTTTTCATGTTTAAGAATGAAAAAATCTGATTTTCATTTGAGAAAGAAAATGACTTTATGCTATCTTGACGTAAAATACAATCTAAAAACAAATGTTGTTGGTATTGGAATGAAATTGTATTTCAAATGACGCTAGTGGGAGTAGTGGTTAATGCTGGCCTGAGGTTGGCTTTATACTCTGTCTTCTAATCACATCTCTGAGTTTATATTAAACTACATGTAAATTGTAATGGTTAATCTCTTCTGCTGAATATCAAGCACATTTTATTTCTGCTTCTCTGGTCTTCATCTATTGTCTTCATAATGTTCATAGTGCCATTTGACTTCTGCAAGTTTTCTGACATTTTGTTAAGTATCTTTTGAATTGGTTTTAACACATATTTCTACGACATCAGTTTATACCAGAAGGCTTGACTGACACATTTGAAGACTTTTTTTTGTTAACAACCAACCAACACACAATATACCATACAAAACAAAATGGTCTTTTGACTTTCTGGGAAAAAAATAGACACCACTGATATTTCCTTTGAACATTGTCCATCATGTACAACTTATGTAAGACTGATTGTTTTTTGGACACCATTATTTTCATTTAGCGAAATGCTACCACTAAAATTCAACTGAATGTAATATTTCACTAGGTGACTTGTGGCATGACCAAACATTTTGTGAAAACTTTTTTTAAAGAGGGGACACAGGGCTGGCGGTGAAATGGTGACGGTGACACTTTGGAAGGTAGCTCAAAAGTTTATCATAAAATTATAAAAATTAAGTAATTGTTGCAACAGTGATCTTTTGCTTCTCTTGTTCTTATCTTCAAAAGACATTCAGAGCTAATTGGATTCAAGACCAAATTTCCTTTCATTTAAAAGTGAGATACCACTATTATTATAACATATATGAAGAAATAATAGATAGCTTTTCTACTCCTACATTACACACAAACACATATATAAAAATTATTTGTTAGAAATCAACAGCAAATGGCTGTAAATCACCATTAAACCTGCTTTGTAATTACCTTACCAATTTAATGTTACCAATTTCACTTGTCATTTAGAATCAATTTTACACAGTAATTGACATTATTGTTAATATATGACGGTGTGGGCTCGAAATCTATTTTTACTGGCATTTTTCTTTCAATATGTAATTATCACCATGATCGTATTGTATTTTTTATTTGATCTTTTCAAATTTATCTGTACGAAAAAGACTCTAGAAATCGCCTCATTGGACACAGGAAATATCCTCGACGACACAAAAGAAGTCATTATTGGGCGGTAATAGAAATGTTAAAGTGAGCTGGATTAATTTATTGACAATATTACTGACAGGATTTTCTGATTTAGATTGAGTGTTCTTTAAGCAGTAATAGTTTATTGGTTGCTGAAAAATGTTTTCTAGACATTCTAAGTTTGGTGATTGACTGATTGTTGTATCCCAACATAGCATACTTCAGCACAGTCACATTTTTTAGGAGAGATTTTGAAAGTTGTAAATCAATGAGCAAGTTGCTTGCTAAATTACCAGGTGTTGGAGCTCTCATTGCAATGGTTTCAAAAGTACTAAGAAAAGAATCTTTGATATTTCACCATCATAGATGCTGGTTGCTAAAATGGGAAATTAAAACTAAAAATTAATCAGCTATCTAATTTTAATGCCTTTATGAAAGGAAGACAAACATGAATTGCTTATTTAACACTTTCAGCTCTTCTGCTGTAATTATCTTTCTTGTTTTATATTTCCCACAATGCTAGGGTCAGCTGCTCAATTATTTCCTGCTAATCAACAATTTACTTGTCCATATGTCACTCTGTTATTGAGTCCACAAACAAATTACCAAGTACGGATAGATTAACAGGCGGTCATAGATGAGAGCAGACGCGATAGAAAGTTAGCAGAAGTCAATCATATTTAATTAACCCTTATGACTTCTCAATATCTCAAACATAGTAAAGTGGTTTTAGACTGGTTATCTCTAATGATTAACTGCCTGCCTGTAATAGATAGAGTGTACAAACGAATTGGCTGATAATGCCAACTCGTTAAAATAGAAAATTCGCTCTTTGAAAAGTTGACTGGTATAATCCCTGAATGTTACCATGTCTTAAATCTAAATGTACCATCTTATGGTGTGAAAAACAGCTAAAATTGAACCATTGAACCTTTGAATAAAGACGCTTTCTGATTTTCCAAATAAAAAAGGGTTAGATATTGCAGACAAACAATTGAGAGTTGGTATTTTTCTCCATCAAATTCTCTTATTTTCAATCAATTTTTCTGTGCTTCTCATCAACTGTTCATTCAACGTTTCATTAACCAGCAGATTTTCATTTACTGCAACATTACTCTTTGATTTATTATATCAGTTTTTCTTGTGAGACTCCATTAACCATTGTAGACTCTATTTGTTAGTATCTCTTTTCTTGTAAACATTCATTAAGAAGTTTTTTGCTTCAAGGTTTTCCAGTTAAAAAAAGAACTGACAAAAAGTCACATATATTATTTTGTTTCCACTGGCAAGATCGTCTAGAAATAGACTAATATGTTATCAAAGAAAAATTATGTCTATTGATTAGATTCATGGAATGCTTCAGACTTCCGACTTCATCTCAAGTAGTCTGAGCATCAGTATAGCCTGAAATCTCTGGGCCTGTCCAGTTGTGATACCCTGTTCAATGTCAAACATTGAATGTCAATATTTCCAAAGAAACCTATAAAATAGACATCAAATGTGTGGCACTAAACAGTGGTCATATTACATTGGTCTTTAAGGTCTGAGAAACTAGGTAGGGTAAGGTACTTGTAATTTTGGTTGTTTGTTAAATTATTAAAAACGTTCAAAAGAGGGTATCATGTGTTATCACCTATAGTTTCTTTGTGTTTTTCTTCCTGTGTTTTTCTTCCTTCATCCTCTCCCGTGACAAATCAGAACCAGATTGATTGTTATATTTGTACCATTCCATTAACGCTCAAAATTGATTCCTGTAATTCCTGAAAAAAAGTTTCAGATTATGGAATAAATTGTATGTTGATTGATCTTTGAAAATTTGTTCATGTGAAAATCAATAGTAATAGGTGACTTGGTGAAAAAAAGAGCTGTGAAAAAACACCCACATAATGAAATTACTCCTTGAAAATTGCAATAACCTGGCATTTCCAATAAAATCATATGCTTGCATAAGCAATTGTTACTTAGTGCAGTACAAACATCTAAAAAACACTCAGAGCGTTAAACTGTAGCTAAAAGAGATG